ACTGTATATGTGTTGGGGTGCAATAGACTAGAGGTTATGCGAATGGTGCCAAGATCTGCGATCCGGGGCACTGGGGTGCAAGAGCTCCGTAAAACACATAGGGATACATTGGGATGCATTTTTAGTGGAGGAGCGAACTGTTCTGGTCCGGACAGAATCCGGACATCGTGTGAACAAGCCCTAAGTGCACCCGCACAGACTCAGAGGACTGGTTGAAGCAGCGGGGAAACAAATACAGACACAGATAGGGAAGAACCGTGAAGCCAAGAGGAGGAAGATAGGAACAGTGGCACGCAATAAGAGGGCGCGACACGAGCAAAGGTGCAAATCGCACAGCAGAGCATATATTGAAGAGGGTAGCTAAGCAAGGACTATTGGGAGGAATTGTTACCTTGTTTTTGGGAATTGTGTAAGGCTTGGCCAACCCACTCGGTTTTAATTATACACTTGGGTGGAAATGATTTGGGTCGCCGCAAGACTTTAGATCTTGTGTTTGATATTAAATATGATTTGTATGTCATTAGGAATCGTTTCCCAGACATATGAATTGTTTTTTCGGAGATTGCCCCTCGTTTTCTTTGGTTGACTACTCCTTCGTTATTTCATTTGGAGAAAATTAGGAGGAGGGTTAATCACCTGCTTTCTAAATGTTTTGGGGCAGATTCAGTGTTTTTCTTATGGTCATGTAGACCTAGAGGGGGGTTTACCTGGCCTTTACAGACATGATATGGTACATTTGTCAGATGTGGGAATTTATATTTATAATTTGGGTTTATGGTCATCAGTTGATTTGGCCATTCTGGGGGTGGGTGCCAGCCTCGTTGCTGGTTGGTGGAGGTCTTTATTTTAATTTGTTGGCTTGAGTCGTGGTGACTGAGCCATTTTAAGTTTTCAAGGTATGGTTTATGATACGTTTAAGTGTGTGATATAAATAAAGGCCGTGGCCAATTTACTTCCAATTTTAGTGCAGTGCATTTATTTATATACATTATTAATTATTTATTGATGTAATTGTTTTAATTGTGCTGTCTATGGTCCCATTATATCCAGTGTGTGTGTAAATAAAATGAAGTAATACCGTGTAATGTCCATGTCTAAACATTGTCAACCTAATAAACCAGCAACCAAAACAGTGTGATACACCTACATATATCCTGTATATAATCATTGATCAGCCATGACATTAAATATTAATATTGAGTAGGTCTTCCTTTTGCCACCACAACAGCCCTGACCCGTCCAGGCATGGACTCCTCTGGACCTCTGAAGATGTGCTGTGGTATCTGGCACCAAGTCCTCAGTAGCAGACCCTTTAAGTCCTGGAAGTTGTGAGGTGATCGACCTCCATGGATCGGACTTGTTTGTCCAGCACATCCCACAGATGTTCGATTGGATTGAGATCTGGAGATTTTGGAAGCCAAGAGAACACCTGCAACTCGTTGTTGTGTTCCTCAAACCATTCTTGAACCATGTTTGCAGTGTGGCATGTCGCATTATCCTGCTGAGAGAGGCCGCTGCCATCAGGGAATACCGTTTCCATAAAGGGGTGTACTTGGTCAGCAACAATGTTTAGGTTGGTGGTCCGTGTAACCTCCACATGAATGGCAGGACCCGAGGTTTCTCGGCAGAACATTGCCCAAAGCATCACACTGCCTCCGCCTCCTTCTTCCCATAGTGCATCCTGGTGTCATCTCTTCCCCAGGTAAGTGACACATATGCATCCGGCCATCCACATGACATAAAAGAAAACACAATTCATCAGACCAGGCCACCTTTTTCCATTACTTCATGGTCCAGTTCTGATGCTCACGTGCCCATTGTAGGCACTGTTGGGGGTGGACAGGGGTCAGCACGGGCACCCTGAGCGGTCTGTGGCTACGCAGCTCCATGTCAGGGCACATATGACTATATCAGGAGATGTCTGGCCATATCAGGACACGTCTGACCATATTATAACACCCAGCAAGTATAAGGCCCCATTCACACTGAGCGATTTATCGAGCGATTTTTGCAGCGATATCGCTCATATTTCCACGCGATATCGCTCTATGTAGCTTCTCCAATCCATTTCAATGGAGCTGTTCACATCTCGTCGCTCAATATCGCTTTTAGCTCGTCGCTGGTAGCTTGTCGCGCCTACATGACCCTTTTTTCGAGCGATTTCGAGCGATATTGCTCCTGATTGCATACAGCCCAATAGGAAAAAGTTGCGCGATGTCGCTCAATATCGCTAAAAATCGCGCGATTTTCATGTCGCTCAGTGTGAATGGGGCCTAAAGGAGGGTCTGTCTGGTTTATGTGGTAGGTGAGAGGAATCATAGGAGGTATGTACATCATGTCAGAAGACAGTGTGAGGGCCCATTCACTTCACTGCACTGCGACACCCTATGTGTCACCCCAACATGCACTAATGCACATTGGGGGGAATTTATCAAAACTGGAGCAGACAGAATCTGGAGCAGTTGCCCCTGGTAACCAATCAGCTTCTCTCTTCAGTTTGTTCAACTAAGCTTTGAAAATAAAAGCTAGAAGCTGATTGGTTGCCATGGGCAACTGCTCCAGATTCTGTCTGCTCCGGTTGTGATAAATTCCCCCCCAGTATGTGCATTGGTGCGCTGTGGTGCCATTAATTGTCAATAGCACCCCAACACACCTGCTACGCACCGCAATGTGCGGTAATACACCACCATATGTTGAAGTGCGCTATAAAAAAATGCAACAATTATTTTGTTCCATTGCAGTGCGCTATTCAAATGTGCGTTAATCTGCGTGCCTTGAACGCACCGCAACGGACCCGACTGGTTGGAAATGGGTCTCTTTTCGGGGGTTTAAGGTGACACCATGAAAGAATCGGGTTGGCACTACATAAATCACAAAGTCTATTGATATAAATGTTTTCAACCAAAATTCACGTAACTTCCAATTGGAAAATGTGTGAATTTTGGGTGAAAGTTGAGTACATTTTGGGTGAAAACTTTAAAAAATAAACGTATTTATCCGAAATGTTGAAAATCTGTTGATTATTTATTTTGTTAATTATTTATTGCAAAATTATTGTATTTTTTTAAATATTATTGTATGTTATTTTGCCATAAGGTAGTAACATGTCATGCTTATTAATATTACATGATCTTTAATAATATATTATTCATGATCGTTTTAATGCATTTAAAAGTGTAAATAATTAATAATTATTATTTCAATGTACTTTGTATTCAGTACAGCGCTGCATGACGGAATAAATGTCAGTCAAAGTACCGCAGCGCTGAATACTGAAAAATGGCCTGGATGGGAAGGGGGTTTAACACCGCGGATGTCAACTGGTTAATATACTAATACTGACTTTTTTTTTTAATTTAAAAATTTATCTTTGACAATAAAAGTACCTTCTGGCTCATTGCGTCATTATCTCCCCCTCATGCCTCCACTGCACTGATAATAAATCTACAATCTCTGAACTTTGCTTCTCTGTCAGGTGATTTGGCGCCATTCGCCAGCCATGACGAAAGGCTGCCTCGCTGGCAAACAAACGCTGCCATGGCGACGCAGCCGGCCAATCACCGAGCACGCGACAGGCTCCGCCAGCAGCTAAGGGCACGCTAGCTAGCTTTTCTTCCCTCATCAAACATGGCGCTTCCTCCGCCATTCAACGTCTCTATGGTAAAAAAGCGAACGCTTCTCTATGGTTTGGGCGAGGGCGCAGGCCGGAAGTACTGTCGACCGCGCCTCTCTATGGTTCCTGGAGGAGTTTGCACTCTATGGTGCTGTGGAGCCGTCGTCTGGCTGGACCGGGAGCCAGGGTGAAAGTGAAAGGGGGGGCCCTGGGGGACGTAGGGGCCCCAGGACGTGCCACAGAGGAGAGCACCTTTCTATGGGAGGCAGGAACCTGGTTGGGCGGCTTGCAGGAAGTAGTGGGGAGCACTGTGCAGCTGCTTCCATTTGGCTGACATTAGAAGGGGTTGTAGCAGAAGGGGGCCTGCAGGGACAGACATAGCAGTGGGGCCCTTTGTGAGTTCACTGAGTGACCAGCAGTGAGGAGGGGAGACTTGCATTGGACTGGCAAGGTGTTTGTCTGACTTGCATGGACAGGGGACTCCATTGAGGTTTTGGGGGGACTTTCAGAAGAATTTGCATTAAAATATTACAGGGACCTTCCTATCAGATATTCGTGGGACCTGCTGGAACCAGAAGGGAGCTTTATTTAACATTTGCTTTGAGCTTGCTGGAAGATTTTTTGACGTTGGTAAAGACTTCCATGAAGATATCTGGGTGACTTGCATTAGGATATTACTGGGGGGTGGGGTGGCCTTGTATTCAGATATCGGGGGGACTTGCAGAAACTAGCTTTATATAAGACTTGACATTAGCTAACTGGAAGATTTGTTGACATTTGTAAAGCATTCTAGCAGAAAAAAAAGAGGGGACCTGCAGGGACAGAGGACTTTCAGGTATCAGAGCTGTCTTTAATATTACAGGGGAGGGGGGGCCGCCATTCAAATATCTAGGTGACTGCTGCTGAAGAACTGGAAGTGCCTTTTAAAGACTCTGATTACATGACCCGGGAGGTTTTCTTACCATATTGAGGATTTGGAGACGGAGACTTGACCCGTAGGTTTGGAACCAACAGGCCTGTAGGGTTGGGAGCAGGAGGCCCATAGGGTTGGGGTAGGCTTGTAGGCATAGAAGCAGGAGACTTGCACCGAGATATCAGGAAGAACTTTGCACTGGACTGCTGGTGACTTGCATTAAACTGTTGGGGAGAATTTGCAGCAGACAGAAGGGTGTTGCTGGTGACTTGCAGGGCTCACAGTCAGGAAATAGCCAAGGAGATTTCCATTAAACTGTCTGGGAGGTAGTGAGATTTTGCAGCAGTTGAGTAAAGCATACAGCAGATATTGTGAGGCTTGCAGAAAGATCGGGGTTATTTTCAGAAAGACTTTAGAAAGTTGGGAGAATTGAGGGGTGCTTGTAAAGGGGACCTCTGGAGAAAGAAGCGACGAGGAGGAGCGCTAAGTTTCAGCTGTCATCCAGCAAGATGTGGTTTATTTATGTGCTCTGCTGGCTGTCCCTGTTCATTCAGGTGGCCTTCGTCACTCTGGCAATAGGTGAGTCCCCGAACAAGTATTGTGACGTCTGAGCGCGTCTCCGTCCAGCAATCTTCACTCTCTGCTGATAACATTACTTCTGCCCTTTTTTTTTTT